GGGAGAGGGAGAGAGAGCCTGAAGCAGACACCCTGCTGAGCATGGAGCCCCACACTGGCTCAATCTCACAACCCCGAGATTATGACCTGAGCCGAAATCACGAGTTGGACACTTAACTGACTTGAGCTACCCAGGCACCCCTCTTTTTTTTTTTTTTTTTTAAGATTTATTTATTTTAGAAGAACGCGTGTGCGTGTGCACCCATGGGAGGAAGGGCAGAGGGAGAGAGTCTCAAGCAGACTCCCCAATGAGCATGGAGCCTCACCCAGGACTCAACCCCACCATCCTGAGATTATGACCTGAGCCGAAACCAAGAGTCAGATGCTTAACTGACTGAGCCACCCAGGTGCCCCTTAAAATAGGTATTTCTTAATCAGATGTCAATGCTTTCTCAGCATGCAACATGGTCGCTTTTGTGAGCTATTTTGTACTTGGATTTTTTAAAAGGGGAGTAGGTCTTTGGACTTTCTTTTTTCAGTTTCAGAAATTTAGAATCCCAAATGATTTAAATTGTGGATGAAGTTAAAGAGAAAATATACTTCTCAAATTTTGCTTCCTAGTAGAAGTAAAGATTTAATGTCAAACTCCTGAGGATTGCTGGTACAAATTGGGCACTTTCTCAGCAAATTATAAGTTGAATTTTATTCTTGTATTGATCTTCAGGGACAGAGAAAAAGACCGACTCAATACTTAAATTAATTCACTTAAATTAACTCTTCTTGAGTCCTTTGTTATGGATACATTATAATCCCTTGAAGTAAAATCCATAATTATTTTACCTTTTGCCTGACAGTAATGTTACCTTAACCTGAAGAAATTATTCAGACCCTCTTACTGTTTTCTAATGTATAATATTAGGAACAGTGGCTGCTTTTCACACCTTTTTAGGGGCCAGGCTGCTTCACAGTATTAAAGAGAATAAGATCTGAGCCCTGTCCAGGCCATTTGCTCACTTTGTCCTTGAGCATGTTATTGGAAGTTTTCTGAGGCTCCATTCGATCCGCTGTAAATGGAGATAACACTCACCTCACATGGATGCTGTAAACATAGGTAATGTGTGGGCATACCTACAAGCATGTTTCCGTGATGGCTGTAATAATGTGTGGAATGTGGCAACCGTCCTGTGTTCCCAGCCCCAGGCACTTGGTGCCAGGACTTCCCTATGGCTGGGGGTCACAGGGAATTCACAGGCAGGCTTGGGTGAATCTTGGGAATATTTTAATTGACTACATGTTGCCATTTGACATGAGGGAACCAGACTGTATGTAACATTTTATAAGCCAAGTTCAAAGGAGTAGATGTTTGCCAAAACTTTTTGTAAGGCTAGGTCCTTTTTCTACAGTTAGTATCTTTTTCAGTTGGGCCTCGGGTCAGCTCTCTCTGATATTTTAACAACTCATATGCCATTGCAAACATAGTAATTTCAGGAAAGCCTGAAGAGGAGACTTGATTCTTCTTTCCATGTGTCCCATTTGGGCTCTTCTCCTATTAGACTTTTGGCACTTGTAGAATATTTTAAAAAGTCCCTGCTATGAAAAGGAAAGAGCCTACAAGACCTACAGGTTAGGCTCACAAAGTTCTGTCTGGGGCTCTTGATGTACACATCCTCAGTTGAACCCCTTATGTGTGCTCTTGTCCTTTGTCTGAATCTTAAATTGCATAAACTTTACTTAGCAGACACAAAGGAAGCCCTGTGTTTTCTGCATTCCAGGCACTAAGGTTGTGAAGAAGAAGCGGATGCCTCAGGGCCACTTTGTATGTGGGAAAAGATGAGAATATAGTAGGGTGTGCCATCCGTAATAAAGACCTTTGAGCAGGAAAAACAAAGGAGCGGAAAACCAGTGGGCAGGAAGCCATGGTTGGACATGTTTTTAAATTTTCTGCCAGGACAACTCATCTTTGCTCTGTTTTAATATTCCTTCTACTTTGGCCCTTACTTCAACGATGTCTTTTTTTGTGAAGAAATCAGTTATCTTTTTCATCTCCAAGTATTCACTCTCATCCTCTAAATATCAGTTAAATCTGGTATGGGAAGTGAACCATCCTTCATGTCTCTGTAAGGGGTGGAGCAGATGGGAGCCTTTGTGTGTGACCAGATCCAACCAGACCCTTTTCCATCCTTGGCAGTTCAGAGCACTGAGCTCTGGAAGGCTTTGCTCTGTTCTCTTGTGATTTGTCTTGAAAACTTATGTTTAGAACATGATCCTTCCCATTGGTCCTTTATTGAAAGGGATCACAGCTTTTTATATTTGAAGGGTGACATGGTGTCTTTAGGTACACTTTTTAAATGTTTTTTAAAAAATCACTCTCAGAGGGGAGGAAAAATAATTTCCCTTGTACCTATCTGAGTTCTTAGCTGAGACCCTGTAATAAATGACAGATTAACATGAAAAAAAGTGTTGATTAACATGTATACCTCGTACACATGGGAGATACCCAGGAAAAAATGGGTAACTTAAAGATGTAGCTGTAGAATTTAGGATTATATTCCATCTTTTTTTTTTTTTTTTTCTTATGTTAATCCCCATACATTACATCATTAGTTCTAGATGAAGTGTTCCATGATTCATTGTTCGTGCACAACACCCAGTGCTCCATGCAGAACGTGCCCTCCTCAACACCCACCACCAGGCCAACCCATCCTCCCACCCCCCTCCCCTCTAGAACCCTCAGTTTGTTTTTCAGAGTCCATCTTCTCTCATGGTTCGTCCACCCCTCCGATTTCCCCCGCTTCATTCCTCCCCTCCCGCTACCTTCTTCTTCTTCTTTTTTTTTTTTTTCTTAACAAGGATTATATTCCATCTTAACAGGGAAAAAGGAGTGGGGGTGTAGGCCTCTTACAGAGAATAAGTGATTTTTAGGAATGATGGATGGGCCCATAGAAGAATAGCTGAGAGATATGAGATCGTGACTCGGTCTGTCTAGTCGGACTGGGTGTGGTGTGGACTTCAAGACTGTTCTTTTGTGATAAGAGTCCGTCCTCCCTGGTTGATGAAACTCCCAGGGAGGGGACTTAGATAATTGAGTTCCTTTTGGAGGACCTGTCTTTTTTTAGGTAGATAAGGGAAGTTCAGAGAAAGCCTCTCCTTGCACTTGACTATTTTCAGGTGTCTACAGCTCAAAATAGTACATGAAAGTGGCATATTTTGGGGTGGCATATTCTGCTGATCCTTTACACTAAACAATCTGACTTTTAAAATTAGAATATTTGAAGGCCCTCTTGGAATGAAGCATGTCTAATTTCAGGCTTAATTTCTTAGACATATATAGGGAAAAAATATATATATATAAAAAATCTGGGAATTTCATAGTAAATGTTATACTCTACTCCTCATCTCTCCCTCCCCCCACCACAACAACAGCACAACACAACACATCAAACTTACGCAGTCACACATACTCCCTAGTTGCAGGCCTCCCCAGAGTGGTGGCATTTATAGTGACCGTAAACTCTTTTTTTTTCCTAATAAAATTTATAGATGGTTTCCCTTTTTTGCCCTTGCATGAGTTAGACAGAACTACTTCCTTACTGTTGGTTGAAAATAAGATCCCCATCCATTGTCCAGATTACATTAGGGTAGCTCCTAATTGACACAGAAATATATTACGTGTTTTAATATGACACCCATAATTAATAAGTCAGTGATAAGAACTTTCGTGTAAGGGTAAAAAAAGCACATAAATCATTTTCATGTTATAGGAGATTTCAGTCAGTCCCATAGTATTTTCAGTCCTAGTTTATCTTCTTGAGACTTCTGGGGGTCTCTGACCCCTCACTTACACTAGTCCACAGAACTCCCTCTGGTTCCTGTTCCAAATGCTTCTTCCTTTTCTTCGTCTTCATATCTTTGATAGCTTTGGACTAAGTCCATGTTAGTGGAGGTAGAGCAACACAGTAAAATCCTTGGACCACCTCTCTCCCCTTTCTCTGGACCTCTGCGGGGAAAGGTAGGGTCACATTACTGGTCGATGCTTGTGGCCCACAGGTCATTTCCTGGAGATACTTAGGGAGAGGTTGGATGTCAGCTGATGAGAGATGACACTGGGCCTGTGTGTGCCCGCTGCTCGTCCCCGGCAGGTGCCCTCATCCTACAGCCTCTGGAACCAGCATGTCCATGAGGGCGTGCAGCCAGAATGTAAATCCAAGTCTCTATCCAAAACTCATGCTCTTTCCTTTTCATAGCAGGGACTTTTAAAAATATTCTTTACAAAATCTCTTCTTCTTTTGTTCAAAAACAAAAGTTTGGGCAAGTCATTCACAGGAAAATAGGAAAGAGATGATTTTTTCCCCCTGGAATTAACAGTGAAACCTGTATGTAATTTAGAGCTAAGTATACACATATTCTGGGTGGGTGTTCATTTCCTAAAGGAGAATGTGATCTAAAAGGTTTGGAGACCACTGCTCTAAGCCCCAGTTGCCCCACCTGTACAACGAGAATACTACTTCTCTGCTCTTGGAGTTGTTTGTGGGTTCAGTATGACCATCTTTGTGAAGGTTTTAGACTGTGTTGGTGCAGAGAAAGTGCTCAGTAACAAGAAGCTTCGTTACATGTTGTGAATCTTGATGGTATTTTCAGTGATTTATTTTCATCCTGAGGTAGAGATATTTAATATTCACTAGTATCAGGAAATGTGTTTTTCATGTATCAGTCCACTTACTTGGAATCCTACTTCAGTTGGTTTTGAACCTCTTAGATTGGGAAAGTGTCACTGCAGTAAACAAAACTTGTACCCAGACAGGGAGGTAGACACTGCCTTGTAATGAGAATCACCTATTTGTGTGTGTAATGACTTACGTATATGGTAAAGAGAGTGCTTAAAATTCATACAGTACAGGTACTTTTCAAATCTGGAAAAGATTAGTTTTATGGAGCTATTTTACTAATTTTTAGATGTTAAAGTAAGTATAGATGACATGGTATATCGTGCTTTGATTTTGAAAGAGAATCTTTGTTGTTTAAATTCTAATATACCTTGTTATTTTATTCCTGCTGTTTTAGGGAATATCTTGGTAAACAGCTCCAATCTGAGCAGCCCCAGACCGCTGCTGCCCGAAGCTGAACGTGCCCTCCAGCCTCAGAATCTCCACTCTTCACGTTTTACCTGGGACGGAGTACCTGGAGTATGAATCTCAGTAGTTAGGGTCAGGAGCAAATAATTGTCCATTTTACTTAAAGTTTTCTTCTGTTGTGTCGCTTTTCCCTACGCTGATTTTCGTTGAACGTGTTTGCCCACTAAGCTGTATAAAAGTAGGTGTTTTCTGTTGCTAAGGAAATGATTAACTGTTACATACACCGCTTGTAATTTCTGTATTTATTGTTCTCTGGAAATGAGTATAGTTATTAAAGGATTCTCACTTCAAAAAGGTTTTGCTCTTGTTCCTCACTCGAACTTTAACAAAAATCATCTATTTTCCTAGCCTAATTGAGAGAATTATTGCAAAGTAGTGAATGGTAAGTAAATGTTTTCAAATTCTACGTATCTGTATCCATCCATCTACCCATCCATCCACCCATCCGTTCATGCACATGTACACATTGTAGCGATCCTCTGCTAATATTTAAAGAACTTTAACATTTTAAAGAAATTTTTAATGTAATGCTGTGGTCCAAAAGATTTGCCTGTGGAGCTCAGTAAAGAATTTTAGCTTTAGATTATTTTATTTCATTGATTTCCTTTACTTTCCTTCTTGGATTTTAGGAGCTCAAGTCTGTTTTCTTTTAATACTTTTTGGTTTCAATATTGCCAGTAGGTATTTATTTCTGTCCCCTTTCCTCTTTACTCTGGAACTACAGGCCTCAGCAGGCCATGCGTGGCATGCACAGCCCCCCTCCCCCCGCCCCCAAATCTGAGCCTTTTGTCTTTATTTATTTATTTGTTTATTCTTTTGTGTTTATTCTTTTTTATTATGTTCACTTAGCCAACATATAGTACATCATTAGTTTTTGATGTGTAGTGTTCAACGATTGAATATTGTTTTATTTTCAGCATAGAGATCCTGTGGGAAAAGTTATTTGAGATAATGGATGTTTTTCTTTGTTAGTGACTTCATGTTACTGAATGGTTTCTTTTAAAGACTTGACTTCATATTTGCCAAGAAAATAGGAAGTCTGGGGGTGCCTGGGTGGCTCAGTCAGTTGAGCGGCTGCCTTCGGCTCAGGTCATGATCCCAGGGTACTGGGATCGAGCCCCACATCGGGCTCCCTGCTCAGCGGAGAGCCTGCTTCTCCTTCTCCCTCTGTCTGCCGCTCTGCCTACCTGTGCTCTCTCTCTATCGCTGTTAAATAAATAAAAATCTTTAAAAAAAAAAAAAAAGGAAGTCTGATCAAACCAATTTTCTTTCTTTCTTTCTTTTTCTTTCTTTCTTT